ATTTTCCTGTTATCAGATACATGTACAACCACAATGAATCACTAATACTAATGGTCAAGACAAAAGTTAATCAGACTGACAATACAGTTGGTTTCAATATAGTACATATTACGGAAATAAATTGCATAAATGTTAAATCAAAAGATAACTGATAACTAACGTACAATTACTTGCGGTTACTGAGGTACTATCATCATCCTTTAGCATTTTCTCATAATTTATCAAGTCGTTTTGACCGATCACATTTTGTTTGGAGTTTTCTTTGATTTGGTCCCAATTTGCGATCTCAACAGGGTTGAGAAAAACGACTTTCGTCCGTTTTTTCACACCAGCCAACGCGCTGGCAGCACCACCCCCTGCAAGGCCATTCGTGCCAGCTGATAACGAATCCATTTCGGCCTCTTTGAGAGGCAAGGTAAGAAAATCTCAAGGTCACAAAAATGGTCCAGAGAACGGGCAAGCGCGCGTCGCAATTTTTTGAAAAAGGCCGCAATCACTTAAACAAGCATAATGTGAAGTTTACTTCTCACCATAATCTGCACAAATTGGAAATAACTGTGCCACTGGAATCATTTCCATCCTCTGCTGGCTGTCATTTGCCATATATTTCTACGAATGAGATGTTTCAGTTGACAGAAGTCATGCCATATCAGATAGTCCAGTAAAGTTCATGTAATGTCAATCCAACCCTGTTAACTCGTTCTGCATTCTGCTTCGAAATCTGTCTTAAAATCTCTATTTGGACTAGGATAACTAATCGACCATATTCTCGATTTTAACGGAAGTTACTACAATCTCACAACTCTTATCACTTGTTAAGTGCCTTTATTTTGAGTTCGTTAAGTTGTTTAAACTTGTAAAAACCTTAAAATTATGGGTAAATACCGTCTTTCTGTCATGTATTTGACATGGAATCCTATCTTTCATGTGGTGATGCAATTTTCTCTGGTTATTTATAATGAGAAAGTTTACTCTAAGTGTATGGACGAGTACTGGCATTGTATTTAACTTTCAGCTTGTCAGTACCCGGAGCATTATTATTTTTCGCAGGTACCTCCGGCGCCTGACAACCCCACTCAATTTGGTATCGAACCAACGTCACGTTGATTCTTGTGGGGAAGTATTGTACTGACATTGGACCCTAACCACACGACCTTTGGAGCCCGGCATATATATAATGAAAGGCTTTATATTCAACAATTGACACGAAGAGAAATTCCACAATGAAGCAGGCGGGGAGGAAGGCATGACTCAGCCTTGCAGGCGTGGTCATTCTGTATAGCTTGTCTTTATTCACACTAAATATATTATTCTATCCTTAGCCTAAATGTGTTCTGCACAAACACATTCATATAACTTTCATGTAGTATTTATAGATTACGAAATCACATCATGACGTGTCTACCATTTAGGGATCAGGTTTATTATTAGCATTTTAACTACCAGTTTGAAAAAAGTGACTTATATCGTTCGATTTATCAAATAGTGACTTCCTTGAGACTTTTTCGGAAGCTAAAAGTTTATATGTTCGTATCGTATTTTCAATATATTGAATTCAGTGTTGTATGATATATTTCTTTTGCATATCTTTAGAAGATATTCGTGAAGGTTTTCTGTTACCTTAACAACAATAACATTTTAAGTTATTTACCTCATGAAAGTATATCATACCAGTCTTGTGTTTCTATGTATTTGATTGTACTTATGTCACCTGAAAAATACTATTCGGTCAAACTATCACAAAGTTGACTTGTTTATCTTTTACTTACGTATATTTTATGGTATTTTGATCTATGCACATATTAAGACGTATATAGTATCCCCCAATATTTTATTGCTTAGGATGCTGAAAGTTGAATCGCGATGGCGAGTTTTAAAATGAAAAAATAATAAGTATTTTCCTTTACTTTGAAAGAGATGATGCAAAATAGGTGCTATTATCTCCTTATTCTCCCCATTATTTCTCCATGAAAAAAGAAAGATGCCGATCACTTTTTCATCGTGCTTTCAAAACCTACTTAATTTCTTCATTGTAACTTTGCATCATGGGTATATCAAAATGATACATAACAAGTAAAATTGTTAAAACTCCACCAGGAGTCCCTTTAAGAACTTATCGGCCCCACGTCGAAGACGTTTTATGAGACTTCATGATGAAAGCAGAGATTTTTCAGGAATTAAGAGCTTTATATTCTTCTTAACAATCAGATCAAAAATTGACATGTGTAACGTCGAGAAAATGTGGAAGATCAGGAGGACCACTTTAACAGTTGCGGAAGTAAAAAGATACAATGTTGAGATAACAGACACAAATACAACATATTAGACCCATACCACACAGGAAAGAACAACCTTAAGATAGGTATTGTTTCACTCTAGTGTGGTGTTTGTATGAACTAATGATTCATTTATATTTGTTGAACGTTTGAAATCGAATTCCATTACATTTGTTTGTGCTTATTTACTGCCTCCTGACGCAAGTGCGTTATTTCTGGGATTTCTAGTTTATACTATAATTCAAATACTCCTAATCATTATATCTCGTCACGAAGAAAAGTATAAAAGTTGGAGTTGATCGTCTGAAAACTTTTAGAACAGGACTCGACAATTCTGACGTGAGAACTAGATGCTCTGGTTGAAATGGATAACACCAGATATGAAGATATAAAGGGACAACATATACTGGGTAAAGGAACGAAAATGGGAGAGATTCGCAAGCCAATATCCATTCAAGAAATTATCTCGGAGGGAAAACTGTTCCATATTATTGCATACTTGGTGAGGAAGAAGTTTTCCCGAGTTTTTGATCTGTTTTTCTCAACTTTGACCGTAGATACTTTGTTTCGAAGTCCGTATTCATGTGAATCTTGGGTAAGAATTATCTTACATGTTGAATAAGTAAGGTTTTTGAGTAGTTTGAAGTAGAGAATCAAATTAGACCTAAGCCTTCTCTCCCAAAGGGGTGCTATTCCTAGGATTTGGCATCGGGAACTGTAGTCAATGACCGAGTCAGTCTTCAGTACTTTGCGGGTGAAGTCACGTTGTATTCCTTCCACCTTTAGTATATTAGATAGGCGTAGGTTGGAAAATAAGAACGAGCAGTATTCAACGATAGGTCTTACACAAACTTTGTAAAGAAGGATTTTAGGTTCATTTTGATAGAAATTACGGAGAATGAAGCCAAGCAATTTCCTCATTTTGGATGCTTTGGCTGAGATGTGTTCAGAGAAATTAAGACTGTGTGAGTAATGTACCCCTAGATCAGTTACTGATGCCAGTCTGTGCAGTGTGTGATTGCTAAGTGTTAGTTCCATTTTAAGAGACGTGTCTCCAATACATAACCAGCCGCATTTCTCTATGTTGAGTTCTAACCTCCAGCGTTTGCACCAGTCATCTACCATGTTGAGTTCATGTTGGATTGTTTGCATAGTACTGCGTAAATCGCAAATGTCAGTTTTATAGATGACTTTTGAGTCATCGGCATAGAGGTAGGTCTTACCTGTACTAAAAGATTGATCCAAAGGAATTTGAAGATAAGCATCTTTTAGGTCAACTTTCAAGGACACTTTCGAACCATGAAGTCGATTTAGAATATCTTCAGCCTCTACCGTCGAGCATGTTTTCTTCAGCAAACGGGAGTTCCAAACTCGGTATGTTAATTACTGCAATTAATCGATCTCTCAGTTGTACATGAAGTTGATCACCGAAATTACAATTGGCAGCTCGTTTCTGCAATTCAAGGATGAATTCCCGAAATTTTGACGAACCATCTTATGAAATTTCGCCCTTTCACGGCATTCAAAACTGGTGCATTTTACATGATTTAATAATAGCTCCTTAAGGGTTGCGTAAGGAAGTGAGATAGGTATTTCTGGATAAGCCAAAGTTTTTAATAAGCTGTACGCTTCTCTCCTAATGATTGTCAGGAAATGTGCCACAATTTTATCACCTTTAACATCTTTCTTAGTCATGCTCCAGATTTCAAACCTTTCCAAATAATCCTCAAAAGCTTCCTAAGTTGAATGAATATCCAACTTTTCCATTGCAGGTTCCATCGCGACGCCAGTATAATGTTTCGAATTATTTGAATTATAGTGCTAACTAAGAGTCCCAGAAATAACGCAATTGAATTAAGAAGTACGACACAAGCACAAACGAATGTACTGTATTTGGAATTAGAAATCGTGCAATCAATAAGTACAAAAGTATCATTAGTTCGTTCAAATACCACAGTCAGTGAAATGAAAGTTCAAGTAAAAAAGTAACAAAAAGATGAGAAAAAATTTCACATCGTATATATAGAATAAGAAATTGACGCTCGGCCCCTCCAGCGGACGCTCAAAAGACTGCACATCAAGGGGCGAACACCCAGATGTACTCTCACCTTTTCATAATATGGGTTGTCCCCATTTGAAGTGCTCTCCCAGACAAAGTGGCCATAACCTCATCGTTGGATAGCTTTAAGGAGAGAATTGACAAACACGTACTCACCAAGGGATTATCGTAGCTCTCTTAAACCGGGAGTGTCTATGGATGTCTCGCAAACTACCATGGTCACCATTATTGCATGTCAGTAACTACTTCTTATCTTTCGCATCATAATTTCCGTTTTCTAACACATTACTGATTAAGTAGCTTGTTTATTTGTTCCTGAGACAGTCTTCTCCTAACAATTTAATTATCACGTTATTACATTAACATTCCAACCAAACAACGTTTCAGACAATACGATGACTACTGGTATTCAGAATCCCCACTGGTCTGAGACAAACGGTTTCACTCATACAACAAGATAAACAAATCCACAAATAACTAATAAACAGACCAGAATTAGTGCGGTGGAGTGGCTAGCTACCACCAATTGATTGTTAAAAATACATGAAACCTCATCGAAACGACAGGAAGCGAGTGTAAATAAATCATACGGTTCATACAAACCAGTGACATAGGCATTGGATATAGAGCGCCTTTTCAGAAGACATCGCTACAAGTCGTTCATCATGCCTCGGATTAACATCAAAGGGGGTGTTTGGAGGAACACTGAGGTAAAATTTCGGATATTAAGTTACTTTTAAGGATGAAATTCTCAAAGCTGCTGTTATGAAATATGGCAAGAATCAGTGGGCACGGATAGCTTCTTTGCTACACCGCAAAGCCGCTAAGCAGTGTAAAGCTAGGTGGTACGAATGGCTTGATCCCAGTGTCAAGAAAACAGAGTGGAGCCGTGAAGAAGATGAAAAGTTACTACACCTTGCAAAGCTTATGCCAACTCAATGGCGAACAATTGCTCCGATAGTTGGAAGGACTGCAAACCAATGTTTGGAACGCTATGAATATCTTTTGTAACTCACAAATTTATTATTAATTTAAAATAAAGGGACAAAGCACAAAACAGAGAAGGGTTATCTGCAGAGGAGGATCCTAAACGCCTCCGTCCAGGCGAAATTGATCCAAATCCGGAGACTAAACCTGCCCGTCCAGATCCTGTTGATATGGATGAAGATGAATTAGAAATGCTTTCAGAAGCCAGAGCACGGCTAGCCAATACACAGGTCGGTTGCTTTCGATGTATTTATACTTCTTCCGTAGAGTTATTTCTTTAATTCATAGAAATAAGAGGAATTCGTTTGACTGTCAGGGTTCATTCTGCTTTTAATTTTCTAAACTGAATTTCTCTCATAATGTACTACGCTCATCCACTTATTTTCGATCATTCGGTTATTTTTTGATTATATTCTCTACCTGTTTACATTTTCAACCTCTTATGTTTTTCTTAATTTTTTAAGTATTTATTTGTACCAATATATGTTCAAGTAAATAAAAGAAAACGGATTTTTACGAACTTCTACATTCGGCATGCTTACAGAATTCGTCTTGGTTGAGTGTTGGACACTAGTAGTAGATCAAACTAAGTTATCCGAACTCGTCAGATAACGATTACTTTATTATCTTTCAGTATTTGCAAATAATTTATTTGCTGATTCTCTGAAAGTGATATTAGCCATGCGGTTTTACTTTTCAGCCTGCCATTTCACTTGTATTAATCTGTTTCTAATTGTTTCAACACAAATCCATTAAGTCTATCCGAGCATCTTATTATGCTTGCCATCCTGCTATCCATGTTAATGGCTTCTAGTGATGAAACCTCTGTACCTCCATACTTTCCTCGTGTTTGCATGCCAATGAACTAAAAGTTGGGGCTATTAGGGTGATTCTCATTCTTTGAAAGTGCTCTCATGTCCAGTTCTGTAAAATCAATCGTTCTTGTGTATGCTGGTTTCGATTATTCGTTTTCTTTAAAATCAAATTCATGTCTGAAAATCCTTTCACATCTGTTTGTTTATACACTTTACATTTGAAAGACGTAAAAATTTTTATTTGCGTGGCTCATATCTAACTCTTCGTTTACTTGTTCTTTGTGATCTTAGGGTAAAAAAGCAAAGCGTAAAGCTAGAGAGCGTCAGCTCGAGATTGCACGAAGAATGGCTATGATGCAAAAACGTCGGGAACTTCGAGCAGCTGGTCTAGGAACATTCTTAGGGTTAGCACCGAAAACGAAGCCATGCATGGATTATAATTCCGAAATTCCATTTGAGAAGCAACCTCCTAAAGGGTTTTATGATACTAGTAGGGAAAAACCAGAAATCAAACCTATGGACTTTCAACGTTTAAGACTTTCAGATATCGAAAAAGAAAGTTTCATGGAAAGGGAGAAGGTAAGCCATCACATTGTTTTCGTTTTTGGATTATGTATTTCAAAAACTTACTCTTTTTAATACCCTTTTTTCATATCTCTATACCAAAATGTTATTTTCGGGTAATTTATATCAAATTCACATTCATAATACGTCCGTTTCGTGCTTGTGTGTTGGGAGTTTTACAAAGTTTATTGCTCCAGGTCAGTCGAATTGTTTCTTAAGTGTTCTATCTATCATTCCAGCCCCCTGGTTTGAGATTAGGTCACTGACTTGTCTCACACTAACTGTTAAGTCCTTATAATTGACCACCTACTACTTGTTAACTAGTCGTTCCCGTTTTCCCCCTTTTTATATCTCATCTATGATTTTTCATAACAATTGTATTAACATCTTTCTAGTCTACAATAAGGCTGTTCCTTCTATTTTCTGTTATTTCGCTGCTAAAAAGTTTCCAACTACTTAGTAACTCAAAAGAGGCTATGGAAATTCACTAGAATTTCCCAGTTTATTTCAGTGTTAACAAGTACGAATTCGGTTTCTGAAGATTTCTTCGTAATTAAAGATAGGTATTTAATTATATACAGCACTAAAATGTATTACGTTAGCCAGAAGGGTAGGCAAAACCCCATCAGGACCGATTTTAAATAACATCAAACAAGTCGGCTAACCATTTGTATAATTCCTCGAGATTCGATTGTTTTATTTACCTAGGGCCCAAATAGTCGTCGTTAACTTGGTACGTTGGTAGGGGGAATTTAATTCTTCATTTGAATAAGTGGATGTCAATTTGTTTTAGCATGTGACATAACTGTCGATGCAGTCAGTCAGCTACAACGTAGAGCCAGGCACATATATGCATCGGTCCAAGTTGCCATACCGCATTAGCACAGCAAGATGAACACCGGATTCATAGAAGTAGTTAATTCAATGGTTGTAATATATAAACGAAAGATTGTATATAACGATGTAGTACAGGAAGAAAGAGTTAGTTCATAGAAAGGAAAATATGAAGCAATTTTAAACTCTTAGTTTAAGGGAAGATAGAGAGTGTATACACCTACGCCATTGTGATCTATTCTCAGCCATGTCACCAAGAGTCTCCGATCATTGGTTACGATAGTCACGCGGACCCCAACCAAGTAGTCTGCATCTACCAACATGGCTCAAACTAAAAGTTATTGACTTCAAAAACTGATGCAACGTCTTGGTTTGGCCACTAGAAGCTTACGAGTGTCTTCTACTCTTAATGGCTATGTTTCGCTGCCTTAAATTAAAACAGAACGGACTGCCGCGCAGTATACTCGTCTCTTAATTGATAGACGGATATCTTGCCTTCGCCATAGGTGACGTAAGTTGGCAAAAGCCAAACGAGCTTTTCGAATCCGTGTAGGGATTTCGTCAGACACCAACCCATTAGGGCTGATCAGACTTCCACGATAAGTGAAGTTGTCAGCGCGTTCGACTACTTCACTCCCTATCTTTAGTTTAGGTGTTGACGCAGGCCATTCCTGAAGCAGCAACTTGCATTTAGAGGGAGAGAAGCGCATTCCAAACATTCTGGCGTTGTTACTTAGTGCTACCTGAAGACTGCATTTTATCAGCGTCTTCACCAAACAGGACTATGTCATCTGCGTATTCTAAGTCGATAAGTGGACCTCCTGGAAGGAGATCAATACCCGAGAATTCAGTCGACGAGAATGCTATTTCCATCAGTATGTCTATGATGAAGTTAAACAAGAATTGAGAAAGTAGACAGCCTTGAGGGACACCACTTAAGGTTACAAAAGCAGATGACAGTTCGTCATAAGCTCTGACTCGACTAACAGTGTTCTAGTAAAGAGGCTTCACAAGGTTTATGTACGTCTGAGGTGCGCCTTTCAATGACAGACACTGCCACAGAATCTCGCGGTCTGCGGAGTCAAATGCTGCTGTTAAGTCAATAAAAACTATCATTGTCGGACGCCGATAGTCATACCTGTGTTCTAAAACCTTACGAATAGTGAATATGTGGTCGATGCATCCACGACCAGGTCTAAAGCCAACCTGATTTTCTCGTATTTGCAGTTCATGAGTCTTAGTTAGATGACCAATAATTATTGAGGCTAGTACTTTAGATACTGTGTTAGTCAAACTAATCCCTCTATGGTTATCACAGGATGATTTTAACCCTCTCTTATATATTGGGACGATCGGAGATTGTGACCAGTCAGATGGGATAACGTCCAACTTCCAGATTTTAGCTAAAATATTCGTCAACCTAATCGCTAAAATTGGACCACCATCCTTAAAGACCTCTGCCGATTTGAGTATTACAGTTTAATCTATCCATTTCAGTATGTACAACTAACACTAAATTCGTCAAATCTCACATTTTAGTAATTTTGGTAATTTTCAGCGTGAGCGTAAAAAGGATGCTGAACGTCAGGCTAAACGTATGCAATCTGATTTACCTGGAGTTATTTTGCAACGTGGGAATTCTTTGGATGAGCCACTGTTGAAACGATCTAAACTTGTACTTCCTGCTCCTCAAGTATCTGACCTGGAATTGGAAAATTTAATCAAAGTATGTTTCAAGTGGTTTTGTAATTATCAACTTATAACAAGTGCATACTGTGGTAATGAAACAATAACATTGGACTTATCATACTAAAAACCAGCATAAATTTAAATTAAAGGGATAAAACTGGAGCATTGCATTCGCGTTTATCATCAACTACAAAACAATGGGCATTTACGCAAGATTTTTACCTAGTTTTACATTAATCTACTTTTTCATTTCTTACAGGTGCTTAAAACTTTTTCGGCCTTTTGAGTTTAGTACTGACTTGCAGTTTGTTTCCTACAGTTTTGTTTTTATCTACTAAGTTATCAAAAAAGTCGACCACACATAGTCATATTTTTCGTTAAATAGTTTAAAGTTGAATATTAATACGCCAGTTTACATAATTTGATCATTTTACTTGTCACTAATTAAGTTTTACGTCGTATAAAATAATTTAAAAGTGACTGCCATGATTTGCTTTTTCAATCTGTGTTTTCTTTACCATCCACGTTTTTTTGTTTTGTTTCAAGTATTAATTTCTTTATATAAATATCTGTCGAAGTATCCTAATAGAAAATCTAATAGAATAAAATAAATACACCAGTATCCTTAAATATCACTTTCCTCTGACAACTTCTTTAGGCCTTAACCTACTTAATTTTTTTTGCCAGTTTTTTCTCTTCTAAGTTTATGGATATAATTGGTTAAGACAAACAAATCTTGATTACTGTGTTACTAGTTCAAGATTATTTTGTTGTCGACGGGTTGCGTGGTGATAACATCATTAGCATTGAAATACAGAAAGTAACTCGAAACCATATATATGTATATATTCTATACTTTGTCTACTTGAATTTTGTTTGTGTCTGGTGTTCCAACACTTAAATCTCTTATTAACTGAATAGGTTACGCAATTTTTAGGAATGTACTTAACTAGATAATAGAATCTTAGTATTAGAAAAGATTAATTATCTATCAGTATATCTTATAGAATAATCACTCACAATGATGTCGAGTCAACTAAAGTGGATACTATTTTGCAAACTCAAGTGATTAAAAATTTGGTTTCTTATTTTTAACATTATTTATCGAATTTTCATTTTTATCGTTTTATTGTGATCGGGGAAAAGGGAAATTAGAAACAATCTGTCTACAACATAACACTAAATCAATTAGAGTTTGATTGGAAACTACATTTTTCTCCCCTTGTTTGAATGTCCCATGCCTATGGCCACTAGTACAAATTGGGACTTTCCTGCAACTTAATCTGAATGAACTTTAGATTTTTAAGATGAAAGGAAACAACACTGATAGATAAAATGCGATGTTACGATGCGACCGAGTGGTGGCTGCGTACAAAACTAACTTACTGTTGTAAACCCCTGATAAACTGATATTAGAAAGATACTTACCCAGTAGATGAGATTTTTCTCCAAACAAAATGACATTATATACATAATACATAAAATAATGATAAACATAATTAGAAATCACTCAACAAGTAAACTATTTGATGATACACCAACTGTAGATCATCCACTCTCTCATGGGATTAGTGCTTAATTATTACCCTATCATCTGCTATCTTTTTGTTTTAATATTTATTATTACTCGTTTATTTGAATCGTCTTACAAAAAACGATTAGGTCGGTCAAGCCGGTGAAAATGCTGTAAGAATGGCTATTGAAGATGCTGATGGTGAATTGGGCTCTGCAACACATCCTCTTTTACCGGAATATCCTACCGGTAGTTTTGCAACACCTGCGTTAAATCTTCAACGCACTCCAATGGCTGTGATAGATTCTGTGACTAGAGTAAGTTTTTATTCCGATTTTTGTATATTTAGCACACTTAAGTTCTGGCACAGTTTGGCGCTAACAAACGTATGCACCACAGAAATAAGATAACATCGAGAAAAATATAAGGTATGGAATTGGGGTACCATAACAAAAATGAATGAACCAGAATAGTTTGTCTAAAAATACAACTTAAAGGATTTCTTTCAATTTAGGGAGTTCATCTCACTATTACTAGGAATGTAAAGTGGAATTTTTATGGGATCCCCACTCGCTTCTATTCCGAGCCACATTTGATTATGTTCCAAGCCATTGAGTTACACTACCTCTAAGTCCTCAGTCAGTAAGGTTGTCCTAACGAATCAACTATTACCAATCCTATACAGCCCTCTTTTATACTACGTTATCATGTCATAAACTGACCTTATCTTCTTACTTTCGTAATAAAACACCCCTACCACGCGAACGGAGTGAGTAAAACTTACTTGTCAAACTTTGTGAGGACGTCTCGAGAGAAGTGGACAAACGATCCCAACCCTCGGTCCTTCCAAAGCATCTAGGGGCTAGGTAAGATAAATTCCCTAGTATGTTCTAAACTTTATTTTTGACATATACACTTAGTAATTATTCATGTAACGTAATCTGTGCTGAGTGCATAAAGATTACTTCTCTCGAATGGCTAACATTAAGTTCTTCGCATTAAAAGAGTACAGGTAAGATAACAGTGTATGCCAACTACTATGCAAATAGTAATCAAGAACCCTAGCGCTGATCATACAGTGGTTGATTGGAGCGGACATTGTAGTCCTTCGACTATATTTGAGTGGTTAATTCTGGTTTAGTAGGCCATCTAAAAACACATAGCCAAGTGGTAATTAGGATCCAATCAATTAGTGCTGCCCCAACTTCAGCACTTAGTGCAAGACCAGCTCCAGCAAAACCAGACGAAGATGCCATAGGGTCTCCGGACAAACGCACGTGAAACAAACGTTTTCAGTAGACAGATGGGGAGTGAATGTGTGGTACTTCATTTGAGTCTTGAATACGGATCTTGGATAAAAAATAGACATCGATGTTAAGACTTAAATACACACACAAGTCTATCTGTTGTACAGTCTGCATTAGTGTACGGACGCTATAAGAGATCATTTTAAATTGCATACGTGGTTTCCAAAAGTTTGATTCATAATTCGTGTTTGGTTGTAACATTCAACATTCGACCAGTTAGTAACTTGAGATAATGAGTTGGATCCCTCCTCACCAGCTAATATTTTCAATCATTTGATATAGTTTTGTCGGTCGCTGATATAAGTAACTCATTCTAATTCATTTAGTCATCTCGGTCATACGCAACGTAGAACTTGGAATGTATGTGCATCAGTTCAAGTTACTACATAAATTTAACACAGTGAAATGAAATTATCAAGTCAAATGCCAGAGTTGTAGAAATGTTAACACTATCCATAGTAGTAGAAACTAATCAGTATAGAGAAAACAGATGTTAGGAGATTTTGGAAATAAAAATATTAGTGGAGACAAAAAGGTAAAAAACCTATGCATCATTGCGATCAATTCTGAACCATGTCATCCAACATCTCCAACCACTGGTTACGATAATCGCTAATTAGAGGTTGTTTTTCTTTTCTTTAGAATAACAAAATTGTCATCATATTAACACATTTTTTCCATGTTCATATTGGCCATTTTTGAAGTATTACGTTTATACTAGGAATCGTTATCTAAATTAATTTGGGTTTATTTAAAAGAATATTAAAACTCAGGAAACAGAACATACATGTAGACGAAGCAAAAACGTAAGTGTTTGCAGATTATATATGGTAAATATTAACTAGATCAAAAGCGTGTTTAATTCACTTTTTTTTTTCCGATTAATTACTGATGTGGTAACTTGAACCAATTCACATACGTGACAGGTTGTTGATGTCTGACTAGCTTTTGATCAAGAGAGTGCAGAATTAATTTGAGGTAATAAAGCGACTATGCGAATTATCTTCTTTTTTTCTGTATGTTGCAGCCTAAATCAACCGATCACTTCATAGTTTTATTTTTGTGAATCTTATTCATAAAATAATGTATATTCCTATAATATTTTTCCCATTTAATTGTTCGTCAAATTTTCTATTTGTTAATATCATTATTATTAAAACTTTTGGTTACTAGGAAGCACAAAATATTTTAGCTTTGCAACAAGTTCAAACTCCTCTTAAAGGTGGTGAAAATACTCCATTAGTTGGTGAATCTGATTTTTCTGGTACAACGCCTCGTTTACCAAATACTCTAGCAACTCCGAATGTTTTACTTCCTAGTCAAATAATTGGTGCTACTCCATTTCGTACACCGAACAGCAACATTGAAAATGGTATGTTGTGTTTTCCTTTTTCCTCAAAATTTCACGCTTATTTATGTTTATTTTTTTTCCCAATTGTAAAAAAAGTAAAATTCTATCTCATTCTGTTTAATTATTATTTTATTTCAAAAGGCCCGCCTCTTAACAATTTACCTAATGAGCTTCATTTTTAAAAATATTTATTTACAAAGTTAATAGAAAAACCATGGTCTATAAAAAGGTACTTGAAGGATTGTTGTGAACTTGATTAATCAATGATGAGTTTTCTGAACATACCTTGTTTTGTTTATTTTTCTCACGTTCATATCTATTTTATGTATAAACTGAACAAACAGATCTACCGGTTTTTTATTGCATACACTCGAAAATAATTGAATTGACTTTAACTAGTTTAATTTTCGTTAAGTTAGTTATTCAAGACGGAAATGTTAAAATTTTGGAAGTAATCTTGTTGTAGTGTGCCAAAGATCCCACATGCTATTGTTTCATTTCAAACTAGTGCATATATTAATCTCTACTAACAGGATTTATATTTCATATTTTAATTAAATGCCCCGGTACGGCCAAAGGTGAGGGGAGTCTGCTTTCCATTTCGAAATGCTCTCAGATGGCCACGCGTATACGACCACTGCCTTTTCGTGGCGAGGGTGTTGTTTATGAAATTGAGAGGATGAAAAGCCGACGTCCGGCGCTTTAACCGAGTTGGTGAACACAAAGGGTCCGCCTAAGGGAGTTGGAAAACATTGGTTCTAAATCAGTGGTGCAAATGGGCTCCAGTATCTTGAGAGAAAAAGGCTTATAAACCTATTGTTGATCGCGGGCTACCATGGTACTTCATCTCGTAACGTTGCCTTGTGGATTAGATCTCTAGGTCAAAGGCCCAGGAAGTGGCTCCCTAGGAAAACCATCTACTTCGGTTTGGGCACCCGGTCAGCATCTCAGCCCTCACACAAATCGAATGATTTGTGTGGCACATATATATTTGGTGCCCGCTTGTACCAGTGTTTATTCGTTTAAATAATAATAAACATTGGATTTAGCCATTCAGCTTTTAGGTGGTAAATCAGAAATTCGCTACAGCCGGTTTGTATCATTAAATTTTGTACAATTTAAACATGGCTCTCAGCTACATACTCAACTGAATTAACTCAATTATCAAGCATAGATTCGTGTACTTGCCTTCAAGCAAGGTTGGAATTATTACTGGTCCACCGAAACGTAATTAGGTAGAGGGAATTTCGAACCTGTGACTTTATAACTGAAATTCGATCGCCTCAACCACCGAGTTACCACTTCTGAATAATATTAATTTGTCATGGGTATATGCGTTAAGATCCTCATCATATGTAAGAAAAGTAGCTTGTTATTTCTCCGAACTATACTTATTTCCCTGCTTTTTATGGTCAATATTATGACATGTTCCTAACAGATTGATCTTATTGTTTAAAGTTTTTCACATATGAATGATTCTGTTGCATAAATAATTTATTCCGTCAACATAGAATTGATTGTCAATTTTCATTCAAGTTGTATACTTGTTCTATTGTCGTAACTTCTTATTGAACTATGTTTAATTGTGTTGTTCCCTAAATTTATACTACACTATACAGAGAATGCACAAATTGATCTAAAAAAGATTTTAAGTGAAATTTAGAGAGAATGTATAAAGGGCTCATGAAATGTTAAAGTTTGTCTACAGTTATAAATCATAGTGGAAAATAGTTCTTTTCAAGTGGATGAGATGTTTCAGTTAAAGACGTGTGATAGCTGAATTGATGATCCAAGGCTAAGATGACTAACATCCTCTTGTATTAATGAAAATATTAAACATTTACTATTTGTTATGCTTTTTTAACCACTCATTCATTGTTTCAATGATTGCTAATAAAAATAACTTCGGAAAGTTGTATGTGTGTGTGATTTTGAAGTTACTGGGAATATTAAATAGTCTGATTTTTGAGGACTTTCAGAAATCCTGTTAATCATTACAATTAAGGTGGGATAAATGTATTCCTTGTAGTATTACTTGATGAATGAGTATATAGTGTGGAAAAACTTCTTACAAGGTTAGTGCAAATGTGTAGTATACTGAATAATCAAATTTTAGTTAACATGATAAACTGTAAATCATGCATTCTTATACTAAAAACCAACAACACCAGTTGATAAGTGTCTAGGATTGCAATTTGAATGTACAAACCTTTTAACATCTTATTAATAAATAAAGTTTCAGTTTTGTGGTGGTAAAGTGAATTGCCTTGATGCACCCGAAAATTTTATTCTCATCTCATTGCATAGTGACAAGATGAATCACTCATATAGTTATACAATGAATGTCCCTAATCGATACTGATGATCAGTTTATATATATATATATATATATATATATATATATATATATATATATCCTGGAGTGTTAAGTTTTATGAAGATCAAAATAGAATTTCGTTTCGCTTAGGTGAAGTTTTGTTCTCTGGGCTTGATGGTTAGGTCTACCTGAAGTTTATGTTAATAATGTTGTTCAGAAGAACAATGAAAGCTCCACAACCAAACCATCCAGCTCAAATAACAAAATTCCACCTTAATCATCTACATGAGCTACAAATCTTCACCATCTCAAATCTTGTCTTATGTTTAATTGAAGCACTGACAAAATCTAAAATCATTTGAGATTCAACAAATATGTACGAATATATGAAATACCGCTTGTTTTAAATGGTTAGCATTAATGTTTAATAAATAACCCTTATAGTATTTAAGTGCATTAAACATACCTCACTTTAAGAAAATCGGAACGTATGATTATTTTAATATAATTGACAAGATATTTAAATATCTACTGAATCTTTTGTATTCTGCTCAATAATGTTCTATATTTTTGATTCCTAGTTATAATATAGACTGAATCAATTGAACTTTCAAGTATCATAGGTTTTCAATTATAGATATATTATCATAGGATCACTTATTGAACATTCAGTTTTATGAAAGAGAGATAAATTAGTTGACATAATTATGAATTGAATGTGAATTAATTTGTCTGGGATATTTAGTTGAGTCACATGGTCTCTCTTCGTAAGTGTGTATAATGCTGATGATTGTATGAACTGTTTGGAAAAAGAAAACGACGAGATTATAATTTATAGACGAACCGATCAGTTATAAGATAACAGGTCTTAGATTTTGGCGCGAAATTCATCCACTCACATTTGGCTAAATGGAGTTTTGGAATTATAGCTGATGTCAGTTCGTGATGAAAACCCTAAATCTAATTCCTAACTTTAACCCCATCAACTGTAAATCATAATTCTAATTCTTCACACAGGTTTATAACCTTCATTTGGTTCTAGTTATTAGGTGGACATTCTCAAAGTCAGTCTATCGTCGCTCAAAGGTCGTCCATAAATTATTGTCTCACCAAAATAACTAAAGATAGATAAATTTATACGTTTTGAGTAGTATAGAAAACTTGTGGCTTTCTGAATTTAGTTCTCAATGTGGTGTTAATCAATAATTGTAGAGCCTAGTTGATAGAACTCTAACAACATTTCCTACTAGGACATTTGTATTCACTTAATATTTCTTTATTTCATGTTCATCTCCTCGTTCTATACTTGTTAGTAGTTGTATTTCTCTCTCTATTAGAGTCCCACTTTTTTCATACCTTAATTTCCGTTTTGTTCTATCATAAATAAAAAAATATATTTTAGGCACTCCAAATCTTCTCATGGGTGGTGATGCTAATAATACACCTGGTCCATTAAGAAAAGGTGAACAACATTATGGTCCCCCGGTGTCAAATACACCACTAAGAAATCGTTTGAATATAAATCCAATCGATGGAAATAATTTAGATGGTCTTAATAATATTAGTAACAATAATCATTCCGAAGGTATGGTAGACTATTATGACCAAAATGGTGTAAAAGCAAATCTACGCAAAAGTTTAGCTAATCTACCAACACCGAAGAATAATTTCGAAATATTTCTCCCTGATGAAACTAAACCTAACGGTGATGATGCTGATGATAATGACGTTGAAGGTGTTAACGTAGATATGGATCAATTGGAAGAGGAGAGGGGAACTGCTTCAAGAATTCCAGATCAGTCAGATTTAGATAGACAATCTGAAAGAGAACGTGCTAAAGCCGCTGAATTGGAATGGTCTAAACGAAGTCAAGTTGTTAGACGATCTTTACCTAGACCATCAGCTGTGAACCATACGATTTTGCGTAATATTCCAGGTTCAGTTAACCAACTATCTCAACAAGATGCGAATATGACAGATTTACAAAAGGTATTGTTAAAATGGTTTTCTTTTGCATACACTATAAAATCGTTAAAGTACATCTAGATATTAACCAACCCTATAATCAATATGTTAGTACTATTTATCGAGTTTATTGTTTTAGGTGTAGGTTTTCTCATTGGTTTTTGAGCTTCTGTCTGACACCTCAAACTTTCAGGAAATCTATACTTGATAACCTCTTCAGTGGGCTAAGTCATTCTTCGTTAATGAATATAATAAAGCTTGAATTCTAGCTGAGTCAATTGTATTATAATTTTACGGTTTACATCATGGGATGACCTTACTTTGACAGCCAGGAAGAATTGGATAGCTGTTTGGTCCTAATACAGTATTCTCCAGTGATGAGCATCCATAATCCTACTGGGGATCAAGCCCAAGACCTTCAGGTTTCGCAAAAAGTCCTTAACGTTCAAACCACTCAGTCAATATCCAACTGTCTGTATTTCCAACTTCAGTCAGTTAGTGGTATTTCACAACAATATTTCAGTACCATTTGTGGGTAACTGGCTCATTGCTAACATGTTTGAACGGGAATGGTCACAACTTTTCACTCGAACCCCAGGAATTACATCGGTAAACTAGTTACCAGTAAACATATGATTAATACTAACTTATTATTTTTTGCTTAAGGAATCTACTAAATTGCTTTGTTAATATGCATCAATCAACCATCATCCGCAGAGCACTGACAATTATATATCATGGTGGTATTAGTAGTTTTTGTAAATAACGCTACATGTAGATTTATTGGATTCATTGTAAAATTCTTACGTGTAGACTGTAATCGTTATAAATTGATTTGAGTCGGAGTAAGATTAGAAACCATGTCTACTTCCGATTGCGTCCATGCTCTTGGCTTCCGTCATACTTCGTAGGTTGTTCAAAGCCCGAGAAAGATGGACTCGCGAGGAGCAGGCTGGGTCTCATTCTGGTCGAGGATGTATTGATCATATCTTCACCCTCCGCCAAATGTTAGAACACCGCCATACTTATCAAAGGCCAACAATCGTAGTGTTCTTTGACATTAGGGCTGCCTTCGATTCGTCGGACAGGACTGTTCTCTGGGATTGTCTATTGAAGAAGGGTGTGCCTGAGAAGTTTATTAACATCCTAAAAGCCCTATATACAAACACCTCAGGTAGAGTGAGGGATACAACCACCTCTCTCCATTGTTCCATTCGAGCAGTGGGGTTAGGCAGGGTTGCCCAATCTCGCCATTCCTCTTCAACTTTGCCATCGATGACATTCTGGAAACAGCTCTGATGGATGTAAGTAATGGCGATGTGGATCTGTTGCCCGGAGAAAGACTTCTCGACCTTGCGTATGCGGACGATTTTGTCTTACTGTGCGATAATGCCCAAGACATGCAATCTGCACATAATCAGTTGGCAATCAATGTCCGTAGGTACGGTATGTGCAAAGTACTTCTACAAGACTGGCAGGATTCCAATCCTGTACTCACCTTGGATGGTGAGCAGATAGAAGTAGTCGAGAAGTTTATGTATCTGGGTAGCTGCATAAGTGCTGGTGGGGGTGTGAGTGATGAGATCAATGCACGTATAGCGAAAGCCAGAGCGGCTTATTCCAACCTAGGCCATCTTTGGCGCCTTCGTGATGTTAGTCTGGCTGTAAAAGGCCGGATCTACAACGCGTCGGTGAGAGCAGTTTTGCTCTATGCTTGTGAAACCTGGCCTCTCCGAGTTGAGGACGTTAGACGACTCTTTGTGTTCGATCATCGTTGTCTCCGAAGGATTGCTGACATCCAGTAGCAACACCATGTTAGTAATGCAGAGGTTCGGCATCGTGTGTTCGGGCACAGAGACGATAATGCAATTCGTGTCACCATCTTGAAACACCGGCTTCGATGGCTTGGACATGTTCTTCGAATGTCGTCCCAGAGAATTCCACGTCGTGCATTATTTGCCGACTCTGGGACTGGTTGGAAAAAGCGGAGAGGTGATCAGTATATGAGATGGTGTCGTGGTATGAAAGAAAGCTGCAAAGGGCTGGCTTGTGTTGCTCCTTCACGACTCCCTGTTTGGGGTCTGAGAGATGGTGCAACACAGTGTCTAGAGACGTTATCAGATATGGTTCAGAATAGAAGCCAGTGGCGATCCTGCTGTAACCTTCCTCTACTTTCTTCATAAAAAATGGGTGTATCTTCCTTAACTGAAAGATTTCTTCTGATTGTACCTTTCCGTTCCCCCATCATTACTACTATTATTATTACTGCATTACTTACACCAATCTCTTCCTTATTGTTCTTTTTTTTAACCCTCCTTGCCTTTTTCTTACCCTCCTACACTATTTATTAATAACTGACTGTGGTTTCCATTCTTTTTTGTAAAATGTTTTTTTCACTCTTATTAGGCTGAAGAGTTGATTAAACAAGAAATGGTAACAATGATGCATTACGATAATTTAAACAACCCACCACCAAATCAATTGTTGGATGCAGCTAAGCAAACTACTGGTCCAAGTGGTGGCAGTGGTGTTGCTCCAGCTAGTCAACAGCGACGTTATTTACAACAGATAAAAGCTACACATGAAAGTTTTTTGAAAGATTGTCCATATGAACAGTTTGTTCCGGATGATTTGAAAATGGTACGTTGTTTATGTCTGTGTGTATGTGGCATTTTCAAATGTCTTTTGTATTTAACGTGATAATTTTGTTTTGCTGTCTTATGGACTCTTTTTGTAATCATATTATGATGTCGAGTGTTGCTAGAAGTATGTAGATAGTTGTTACATCTTGGCTGCCCACATTGAGGGAGGATACTCGTTTAGATACGTGAAAAGAATACTGGATTAATAATGATCTTATGGAATAGGAAGCGTAACCACATAGCGTAAGGGACAATTACTTAAGGCCTGAAACGTATGGCCCTTGTGTGAGTTTTCGGTTTCTTAGCTTTGTACTTTAAAGGCTTCTCGCCTGAAACATGAACATGCGGAGAAATGTTAGATGTTCCATATTCAGGTGCTATCTTTTCAATTCTCTTTTGTCATTGTAGGTAAACGCCATTGCTTCAAATGCTAGTTGTATGATGAAAACAATTTACTACCATCATACCGCAGTATAACTTCATTCTCAAATCTTGAGTCTGTTACTTCTAGTCTTACTGTCTGCCAACTAATCTACCTGGCATGGTAGGACCTACTGCTTATACTCTTATTACCTCTACCACTACGGGATTTGAATCGACCACTGCAACTCTGTGCTAATGTGGTGTGGCAACTCGAACTGATGTATGTACCTACGAAGTTCTACGTTGTTACTGACTGACTGATAGGGACAAGTATTTTTTTATTAAATATGACTGGATTGTGTTGTCAGGAAACAGAATCCCAACCACTCCGTCAAGGTATCAGCCACGGTTAGGTTATTGATGGTAAATATGTGGGTGAAATGCCGAAAATTGGTTACATATGCCGAGATACTTTCTGCTTTAATAAATCTTAAGACAAAATTTTTTAAAGTTCATTTACTTCCCAAATTGATTCACGTTAGAAAACGAGAGAGTATCGAACGTCTGTTTCGTTGTAGTATATGAGACTCCCCAATTATAAGTATTCACCACTCCTTACCTAAGGGTTGGATTAATGACCTTCAAGTGTCACCCTATATCTTCGTAGTTTTAGATGGTCGTTTCACGATTTTGACTAGAAACTAAAAATATTCCATACCAAATGATGTTCCTATTACATTTCTGCTTTTTATTACATACTACTGATTGATTTTGTAAGTAGCTTATAATGTTGTAGTAATATTTCAAACCAATTACAGGCGGAAAATTTATTGGAAGAGGAGATGCATGTCGTTCGAAATGGTATGGGACATGGTGAATTATCAGCTGAAGCATATGCTAAAGTTTGGCATGAGTGTTTAAGCCAAGTTTTATATTTGCCAGCACATAGGCGTTATACACGAGCTAACTTAGTAACAAAACGTGATCGGATTGAATCACACGAGAAACGATTGGATCAGCTTCGTCATCTTATGGCTGAAGAAGCTAAACGAGCAGCAAAACTGGAGAAGAAACTCAGGATATTGTTAGGTGGATATCAGGTAATCTGTAATGTACAATCTCTCTAAATTATTTTGGACCTAGTAAATTTGTTGATCAAGTTGTTTCAAACTCTCATTTGTACATATGTGTGCAAAAAATGAGTATACATTTTATCAAGGCTTTATTAAATTTCTCAAGGTATTCACCCGCCGAAAATAAGTTCGGAGACCTAATTTTTTGTCATATCTATGGGATGATTTGATGAAATGTAGTTGCCCAACCTTACACACTGTCGCTTGTTGGTAGTATACTTGTGAATATAGTATGCAGTGTGTTTTGCTTATGAACATGTACGTACATCTGCAACCACTAATGCCTACAAAGAAGTCATTTGGCAAACAATACGTAACTTATGTTTGCTTCATAATAGATGTAAGCATAATTTTATTTTTAGATTGTATTCATCACAGGTTGATCTCAGTTAAAGTTCTATTGAAAACTGGAAAACACTATGCAGCTGTTTTGTCTTGTTACGGGACTCTATAGTAGTTTGCATCCGCAATCCTATCGGGGATCAAATCCAAAACCTTTATGTCTCACAGGAAACTGTTGACCACAAAGTCACTGTTTTGGGGCTCACTGATACACTTACAACTTCAACCAATTCGCGATAAAGAACAACAACTATTCAGTGTTATCAGTAATAATTGTTTCACTTTAAGCACTTTTGAACTCTACCAGTCACAACCTTATTTACTGTATATTTTCCAGTTAACATTAGGTGGCTCTCCAGTTCTGTTTTCTAAACTGAAGACTTAATAATCCTTTTTTATTTCATATCCTATTCCATAAAATAACTAACTCACATTTCTCCTATTATCCATTTTTAGTCACGTGCACAAACCTTAATGAAAGCCATTGAAGAAAGTGTCGATCAAATTGAACAAAGTCAAATGGAATTAACCACATATGAACGACTTCACGAGCAAGAGTTATGCGCTATCGCTAGACGTTCTGATGTAAGTAGCATGTTTGTGTTTTTCTAGTCAGGAAACAATTGAAATTATGAAAAGTTTTTATTCCTATATCAATTACTTTCAACATATATTTATTTAATTTTTCAGGTTTTAGAAGCTGATGTTGAACGTCAACAAAAACGAAATGCTGATCTTCAACGAGAGTATGGTAGATTAATTCGTATTCGTGAAGAACGTGAAGCAGACGCTTTCTTAGCTAGTAATATGGATTTGATTAGTAATGGTGGTGGTGGTGGTGGTGGTGGTAAAGATGATGGTGACACATCAATATCGGTCACCGCTAGTGGTGATGTTACATCTGTTTCAATGGATATACATAATCAATCTAATACTGAATCATCACAAGGACAAAAACAAACAATGATATATGGAAATAAGAATATAGTATCAGGCAAGTGGATTGCTGTGACACAGATTGAAAATATAGAAGATCCTGATCAATCGATGTTATCCAATGGAGAGATTCCTACACAGTCTCTGTAAGTCTATAAGTTTTTTTTCTTCGGTACTACTTTAAATGTATCAGTAGCTCTTTTCTTTTTAAATGTACTGTAGTATATATGGATAATTTATTATCAAGTCTACTATTACAACTTCCATTCTACTAAGTTAGGATTATGAAATCAATTGGATCTCTTGACAACTCGATAACAGTATAATATTTTCTTGTAATTTTTTTCATGATGAGTGAATTGAAGTCTCCATTGAATGATGTAATCAAAGGAACACCACAATTGAATAGAAATATGATACAATAGTTGGAAAACATGTCATATATATTGCTTTATTCAATGTTAGTGAATTAGACAGTCATAAGCGATTTAGAACCTGGGACACGTATACATTGGTTCAAGCTTTCATATTGCATTAGCATAATGAGGGAACTAACACTCAGATGGGGATAAATGATTTATTATTTAATGCGCAATCACTTAGTGGTTTAGTAAAATGTGAAAATAGATCATTTATACGTCTTTCAGGTGTCCTTTACATCCCTAACGGTTCTTCTGATTTCGTTTTTATTTCGATTCCTTTCTGTTGTCCATCTTCCTTCTCTCAATTTCAATCTTCTTTTGACAAGCAATCCACGTCTGTTTGGTGGTACATACTACTTTTATCGACAGACTTAAGCACTATACATCACAGTATATATGGTAATAGAAAAGATTAAACACACATGGTACCATTCATGAAAAAAATTAGGGAAACAAAAAATCATTGGGAAGTCAAAAGCTTAGAATTTTAGGGGAAGACAAAGAGTGGATTCACCTGCACCATTGCAAACGGTTTTGAGCCATATCGTTCAAAGTTTCCAACCATTAGTTGCAATAATCATGCGGACTACAACCAGGTGGTATGCGCCCAAGTATTTAACTCAATCCAATCGTCATTGTTTTGATGGATTGATGCCACGTTGTGGTTAGACCGTCTCTATCTTCCTTCCAACCTATTCCCATATCAGACAACGTAGCGCGTCAAGGTAGGCTGTGGTTGAGTATACGCAATAAATGTCCCATCCACTTCAATTGATGAGAATTTACTACCTATTCAATCGTCTTTCCATCCTTACGTAATACCCTATTCTTAACGCAGCGATTTCTTACTCGGTGATCGAAAAATACGCAAGCAATGCTTTAAAGATATCTATGTTTGAATACTAGTAACCTAAGAATATCCCCTATTCCTAATGACCAGTTTTCATACCCATAAAATATAGTGGAGCGAACTGCTTCACTATAGACTCGTCCTTTTGTTGGTAGACACAAGTGAGGTTAGTTGGCAAAAACCAACTGAACTTCCGTAATTCATGTCGAGATTTTGTCAAACACCAATCCATGAGACCTGATAAGAATTCTCAGATAAATGAAATGATTGATACATTCAACTACTACATAGGTCAGTCCAGAAGAAACATTTTGCATTTAGATGGAGAGAAACGCACCCCAAACATTATTGTTAGCGAACATGACTATAAGATTTTGTTTGAGATGTTGTCTTCTCCAGTTCAGAGAACTTAACGTCTCCAAGATCCTCCTCGTAAGTTACAAATATTCTTAGTGTATAATACGTGATCGTCACTGACTATTATTCGAACTTACATCTTACAATATTTTTAAGCATTTAACTGTATGATCTTTCAGCCTTTGATTCATAGTGATATTAAGCTATCTATGTTCTACAAAATAACTACGTTTTTGCTTTCTCCATCCGTTCTTAACGTCATCAGCATGCACACTGGTCGGTAAGTCGCTTAAAACACTTACCTAACCTCTTGGAATGATTGATATGAATTGACTTCAATCGTTATACTAAGGCATCCATTATAATCAGGTACAACATTCAATCTCTGCATTTAGATTACAAAGACAAATTACCATATAGCACATAAACAATCAGACAGACTGTATAGATCGGACACATTCGTTTTATTAACTATTTTTAGTCGAATACCTGCATGAATACATATATAACTACTTATATTCTTCATTTTTTTTCTACAAGATCATCATCGAGAGTTAGCAAACACAAAGATTAAATTAACTTGATATTGTTTACTTGAATCTTCTCATTTATATTTAGAACTGCAATTGATTAGCATATGTGCATATCGTGCGTATTGCCTCGATATTGCCTTAATTCACAAGCATTATAAGCAATGATGGATAGGGGCTAGCAGTGGAATCCAAGAGGCGCGTTTTGTCCTATTCGGGATTCGTCAGCTGGATGTAACTGCTTTTCAAAGTTGATATTCACCCTGGGACTCGAACCCAGTACCGTTTGCCTCAAACGCTATCATGTTATCCACTTAGCTACTGAGTCCTGATAGCCACATGCTTGTGCAATGGGGTGAAGTTGTCACGCATATTATATCACTACCGAAAGCCATCTATGGACTACAATATTTTGATTATAATTATTTTCAAAACCTTTGGGTATTCTGGAACAAACGAGTAAGGAATATTGAGATTGGGGTTTAGTAGGCAAATATGGCGAATTAGTTTATTAGGCTGCGAATCCCCATGAACTGTGGATTGGACATGTGTTAGTTATGCCCAGCGACTGCCTGTTTCTGCTTCAAATGTTATCCAGAGTGGGAATATAAGTTGAAAGAAAACTAAGGGCGGTCAAATTAAGACATCATCAGCTTATGATATCATTGACTAATTGGTTGGCTTTTGTTAAGATTTTCCAACTACCCGCTCAAGGTCCGCGTTATGATTGTAATCATTGCTTGTAGGCCCCAGTTGACTTGGTTCATAATCACTCACAGAGGCACAGATCTACTTACTCTTTATCTTACTGTAAGCCTTCAGTTTCAATTTTATTTCACACTTTTTCCCCTTCAAATTTGTCCGTTCCCTTTGAACCATATTCTCCAGTGTCAGACCCTTGTCGTGATCATTAATGCTACTGTAACGAACAACAACAACTTGAGCAAGGAAATTAAATTTTGATTTGCAAGATTACGCACTACATTTTTCAAATATGAAATCAATACACTAAGTACACCACATATTTATCTTCCTTGAATTGTCTCCTACAAATCCCATCATTCTTTCTTCGCTGTTGTTACTCCGGCTGTTTTCTGTTTTTCCTTTCTCATTTTCCTATTCTGCGAGTAGGAATTTTACTATCACTTCCTACTACGTACTACTCATATCCGTCTGTGTAAGTAACATACACCATACAACTATTAATTTAAACCTTCTTAGCAACTCTGAAGTTGGACGCAGGGTATTGGGTAAGTGTGATAAACCAACTTATGAGATAATGAGGCTTTATCGACGGAAATGTATTACCGTATTCTTGTTCACCGTCTACCTCTAAGTACGATGATAGCTGATGTAGGAGTAGGTTGAAATGTCATGATCGATGAAAACAAAACATGGCATCACCCCATGAAGACATTGACAATTGGGCTGAGTCATGTAGGTGGATCCATACTACTTGGTTGTGTTCCACATGATTACCGTAACCAACGGTTAGAAAATTTGAATGACGGCTCAGAAGCGTTTGCTCTGGGTTAGATGCACCCATTCTTTGTCTTCTCTCAAATTCTGAGCTTCTGAATTCCTCAATTTTTTTTAATCATTTCACTGATTTGTATTTTCTCGACTTTTATCTTGGTTGCTTAATCTTTCCTATTATCAATTATACTGTCAATATTTTTAATACTCTGAGATTTGCCTTAATAATTTCATCTCACCGTTTTTATGGGGTTATGGGGACTGGAATCGATATACACAGATGCCAAGTTCTACATTGAAACTCACTAACTGACCTGTAAGCTTTTAAATCAAATATTTGAATGACGCAATATTTAGAGTGAAAGAAAGATTTACCATGGTATTACAAACTCATCATTTTTTTCTTATTCTTTTTTGTTTCATTTTAGTCATGATTCCAATCATTTCGAACATGATAATAATGATAATCATCTTCACTATACTACCGATGAAAATGTTATTGTGTCTCCTTCAAATAACAATGAGAAAACATCGCCTAATGATACAGAATCATTGAATAATATCATGATAGAATCAACAGTAAAGCAACAAACTATTAGTTCACATTAAAATGTTATTTTATCTAATTTCCATGTATACAGAATTGTTTTTGCCTACCTTTTTCCCCCCCTCTCTCTCTCTTTTTCTCTATCTCTCCCCCCCTCAATCTGATTTTCATGCTTCCCAAGTGTGTGTGTGTGTGTGTTTAAAAAAACATCTTGATCCTATTCATTTTTTTTATTTCCCTTCTTTTTGTGTATGAAGACTTCAGAATTTTCTATACATTATGCAAAGTATAAACTAACTAGCTAATGGCAATTTGTTCACTGTTTTCTTTATAAATTAGTGAATTATGTATTTATGCTTGTATTGAAAAAAACTATAAAAGAAACATTTTGTTTCACACCATTATATCTATTACTTTCTCTTTCTCTCTCTCTGTCTCTGCTATTCACTTAAGTGTGTTTGTAAAGAATAGTAATAAGAATAATAAACATCGTAATGATTATAATTATCACTATGCATAAATTCTATTATTGAAAAGAAGATTATTTTTAACCATTTTGGTAAACAAATAAATTTGATGAATTTATAAGTCAATTGAAGCTAGACTAGTATGGGAAACTTGGAAACATTGGATGGCCGTTTTGTCCTATTGTGGAAGTCCCCAACAGTGCGTAACCACGATTCTGTCTCGTGAGATTCGAACTCAGGACCTATCAGTCTCGCACACGAACGCTTAATCTTTAGACCATTGAGCTGGCAATTTCGTGGATTAGTTGAAATTAAACATTAACACCGTTGGTTAAGCGTTCACTCCCGAGATTGATACGTCCTGGGTTCGAATCTCGCTAGGAGGGGTCGTGAATGCGCACTGCTGAGGAGTCCCATACTAAGACGAAACGGCCGTTCAGTGCTTCCAGGTTTTCCATGGTGGTCTAGCTTCAATCCACTTATGAATTCAACTATAAAATTACTAAGATCTCCACAAAACCCCTTCTGAAAATAAAATTGACTTAGTTGGAATAAAGAGTATCGATGTTTAGATTGTCCGTTAGAACGAGAGATTTTCTTGACAATTCATTATTCAATAGAATATAAAGTTCATAAATAAAACATACTCTTCGAAATACTTTAGTTTTCTTAAAGGCAAAAATATCCCCTTTATGTTAACATACATTTGTGTCTACAAATTAGGATGTGTCGATTGTGATGTCTTCTAATATTAGAGAGTCATCTCATGAAATATTGACTTGAGCTAAAGAACATGTTAGGTACACAAAGAAACCATGGAACTTGAAAGATTCTAAATTAAATCAGAAATAGCAGTTCATATCATTTTTATCAACTATCAAATCGATATTAAAAACATCAAAATAATACAAAACAGCTTTTCCAACTATAAAGAAAGTTGAGTGGCTGAAGCTTTTCATATATTGCTTAATCTTACTGCCCTCAATAAAAACAAGGTCTCACTATCTATCTGACTTGGACCATCTATCCGAGCTAGTATTTCTGATTCTATTCTCACATTTCACACCATTATCGTACATACAAATCCAACTCTATCCTTTCTCACCACAAATATCGTATATTCCATCCTTTACCATCCGTACATACAAATATACAAACATGCCTCATATAAATCACCTTGACCGGAATGACGTAACACTGACCAAGTCAGTGTCATGTAGTTTTTGATTGATCACACCAAATATTCTTGCTTTGTACGTTTATACTATTTAAACTAATTAATTTGATTTGGTTATTTATTCTCTGAACAAGTGGGTTACATTGAGTCACGAAACGTCAGAAATTTTACTTATAACAATCTATCCAATGTTTAATTTATTTGAAATGATCAGGTCAAACCTTGATAATGATACATAGAATACTTACTTACTTGCGCCTGTTACCCCCAATGGAGCATAGGCCGCTGACCAGCGTTCTCCAACCCACTCTGTCCTGGGCCTTCTTTTCTAGTTCCATCCAATTCTTGTTCATTTTTCTCATGTCTATTTCCATTTCTCGGCGTAATGTGTTCTTTGGTCTTCTCTTCTCCTTTGGCTTTGAGGAGTCCATGTGAGGGCTTGTCTTGTGACGCAGTTGGGTGCTTTCCTCAATTTGTGTCCTATCCACTTCCAGCACTTCTTCCTGATTTCTTCCTCCGCTGGGATCTGGTTTGTTCTCTCCCACAGTACATTGTTGCTAATAGTGTCCATCCAACGGAACCGAAGTATTTTGCGTAGACAATTGTTAATAAACACCTGTATTTTCTGGATGATGGCTTTCGTAGTTCTCCAGGTTTCTGCCCCATACAGTAGAACTGTCTTGACATTTGTATTGAAAATCCTGACCTTGATGTTGGTTGACAGTTGCTTTGAGCTCCAGACGTTCCTCAGTTGTAAATATGCTGCTCTTGCTTTGCCGATCCGCGCCTTCACATTTGCATCAGATCCACCCTGTTCATCAATGATGCTGCCCAAATATGTAAAGGTTTTTACATCTTCCAAATCTTCCCCGTCAATTGTGATTGGATTGGTGCATTCTGTGTTGTATCGGAGAATCCTGCTTTTCCCTTTGTGTATATTGAGACCTATTGCTGCTGAGGCTGCTGCCACACTGGTCGCTTTCTCTTGCATTTGTTGTTGCGTTTGGGATAGAAGGCCCAGATCATCTGCGAAGTCTAGATCATCCAACTGCATCTTAGATGTCCATTGTATCCCGCGCTTTCCTTCAGACGTTGACGTCTTCATGATCCAGTCGATCACCAGGAGAAAGAGAAAGGGTGAGAGTAAGCAGCCTTGCCTAACACCGGTCTTCACTTTGAACGACTTTGTCAACTGTCCTCCATGCACGATTTTGCAGTTTAATCCATCATATGAATTCTGTATGATATTGACTATCTTCTGAGGCACGCCGTACTGTCGAAGAAGTTTCCATAGTGTTGTTCTGTCCACGCTATCAAATGCCTTTTCGTAGTCAATGAAGTTGATGTAGAGTGATGAATTCCATTCAATTGATTGTTCCACAATGATCTGTAGAGTTGCGATTTGGTCTGTACACGATCTATCTTTGATACATAGAATAAGGTTTACTTAATTAAAGTTATCCAAAACGTTTTGATTGTACAATAGGTGTGTTATTTTTTGTTTGGTAAATGAAGTATGCATTTTCAAGTGTTATTTTTATCCTTAACAGTTCATTATCTTTATAGTTTCCATCCGGTGTACTGCTTTTGTAGTCGTATATTTGATTGCAGTTAGATCGTATGCTAATTGTTATCGAAATATACATGCTGTCAACCTTTATATTCTTATTAACTTAATTCACATTAGAGAATAACGGAATAAAATAAGCCAAATGCGAGAATGTATTTTGAATACATATATTATATACATTCATTGATATGAATATACAGTCAGAGAAACGAAGTGACACTCAGCGGAGAAAGCAAATGAACTAACTCGTTTTGATCAAGTGTGACACAATATTTATATTCAGACAAATATGAATTACAAACACTAAATGAATAGGGCAAGCAGTCATATGAAAACAGTCAGGATTAATAAGCGAATCAGTGATAATAAAGTCAAAATATAGCTTGAGAAAAAAAAGAGAATAGAATGGTCTGTCCAGAAGTTAACGTTAATAACCTACGTGGGTTTGACCTAATACCAGTCAATAAATTGCGTTACACTGATATATTCATAGTAGAAAGTTAGTGAAATATTTGAAATTCAATTTTTAATGGAATGTGTGTACACTATGCAGCATTTATCATCCTCTAAATAAGTTTTGGATCTATTAATACAAACCAATTTCATATCAACATTATCGTTACTTATCCAACTAAAGATATCTAGGCTGAAACCATAACTAGGTGTACAATTAACATTCTGTGATAGGGAGTTTTGTGTTTAATGAATCAATACGACATTCATCTTGGTATAGTGTGAGAACAGACACATGGTGAATTCTAATTCTCGGTCAATGAATGTTCATCAATTTCCTATAAAAACTTTGACTCACTCATGTTGTCAGTCACGTGAAGGTCGCTGGTTTGATAAGTGTAAAGTGAGCCCCCAAATGCCCTGGTACGACCGAGAGTGGAGAGAATCCGCTCTCACATGGCCACAGGTATATAGCCTCTGCTAGGGAAGTCCTACTCACTACCTTCTCGTGGCGGGGGTGTTGTTTACAGAACTGAGAGGACGAAAAGTGGATGTCTGGCGTTTTAACCGGGTTGATGGACATGGAGAGTCCACCTAGGGGAGTTGGAAAACCTTGATTCCAAACCAATGGCGCACATGGGCTCTAGTATCCTGAAGGAGTAAATGGCGTATGGACCAATCGTCGGTCACCGGTTACCATGGGATTGCATCTCCTTACGATGCTCCATTACCTTGTGGGCCAGACCTTCAGGTCGAAGGCTCCAGGTGTGGCCCCCTAAGAAAATCACCTGTTTCGGTTTGGGCACCCGTGCAGTATCACAACCCTCACACATATCGAATGAGATTTGTGTGGCGCATATGTATTTGGTGCCTCCTTGTACCAATGTTTATATGTTTAAATAAATAAATAAAAGCTTCAGCCTTAGTTCTAAATATGAGAGAAGTGAAGATATATATGGTCATGTGGTTGAATTTATGCTTAAACGTTTTGTTTCTTTTAACAAATAGAAAAAGTCAACTATTTAAAATCGATAGTCCCTTGTAATTTTCCATGTAAATTTTTGCATTCACAATAACTTTTCTAATTGATTATAACCTATGGGGGTTATTTTTTAAGAATCATTCAACTTCGACCTTATATTGAAGTCTCACCGTGAGACTATAATTTATGGACGATCTTTGAACGATGCTAAACTGACCTTCAGAATGTCCACCTAATAAACACGACTAAATGAGGGGTATAAACCTGTGTGAAGAATTGTAATTATGATTTACAGTTGATAGGGTTAAAGTTAGGAATTAGATTTAGCGTTTTCATCACGAACTGACATCAGATATAATGCCAAAACTCCATTTATCCAAATGGATGGGTGAATTTCGCGACAAAATCCAAGA